GATGGCTACTTCCAGCAGGATAATGCACCATGTCACAAAGCTCGAATCATTTCAAATTGGTTTCTTGAACATGACAATGAGTTCACTGTACTACAATGCCCCCCACAGTCACCAGATATCAACCCAATAGAGCATTTTTGGGATGTGGTGGAACGGGAGCTTCGTGCCCTGGATGTGCATCCCACAAATCTCCATCAACTGCAAGATGCTATCCTATCAATATGGGCCAACATTTCTAAAGAATGCTTTCAGCACCTTGTTGAATCAATGCCACATAGAATTAAGGCAGTTCTGAAGGCGAAAGGGGGTCAAACACCGTATTAGTATGGTGTTCCTAATAATCCTTTAGGTGAGTGTAAATGATGTACACAAACACCAGAGCATGAGTAGGATGAAACAAAGGAATATAGTCAGCTGATGTATGGTTGTTGGCCCTTATACACTCACACACACACACCCACATACACACATATTTAAACATATATTATTGTGTGTGTGGATTAGGTTTATATTACAGTGTAGGCACCAAATGTCCCCCACAATGTGATAAAAACCTGTTATTTTGACGTTGTGGGAACCATTTTTTAGGTCCCCACAAAGATCTGTGAATGCAAACAAAAAACTAAAAATGCCAAAAGTCTCATATTTAGTTTGGCTACTTATGGTTAAGGTTAGGTAGGGGTTAAGGTCATCATGTTGGGATTAGAGTTTTCCCCATAGAAATGAATGAAGAGTCCCCACAAAGATATAATTACAAACCTGTGTGTGTGCATATACACATCGAATAATATTTAATTTCATACCTTTCTATTCTCCTTGGAATAACAGAAATACAACCATTGCGCCATCAATACATATAACATAAGTGGCAATAAGTAGTATTTTTGTGACAAAATACCTCACAACAGGTAATAAAGAAAACATGGAAAGTGGAATTGAGAAGGGTTTTCTTTTACTGAGGGAGTAATGCTGTCAAAATGAATTACTACAAAGCTCACCATTAAATGGAGCCAGGTAATTATAAGCAGTCATTTATCTATGCCATCAAACTACTGTCTATCTTTGTTGTTTTCTGTATTATATTTTCTTTTTCAGAAATAGAAGCTACAGTTCACCTGGAGGCAAGTCGATAATCAGTTTTGATCCTTTTCAAGAAGCAGATATAAGCATTAAAGAACATTAACTCCCTTAAGTTAAATGTAAAAATGAAATTAAATCTAATATAAACTGAATTAATTTAAGTTCACCAAACTGCATATATCTGCCCATTCAGCCACTGCACTGTGCTGTTAATGAAGAATAGTGAATAATTGTTCATTATTTGTAAATACAGTAAAACCGGTCTAAGTCGACACTCGCGGGACCAGCTTAAAAGTGACGACTTAGAGAATTGACGACACTTTGGCGACTTATGTCTATCTCGCCGTTTTGTCGACTAGTAAATATAATTCGCCGTTTTGCCGACTTATAAAATCGACACTTCGGCGACTTATGTCTATCTCGCCGTTTTGCCGATTAGTAAATATAACACCATACCTCTACTACACCGCACTATACACGCGAGACTTAAGACCAGGGAGCGACTAGTGCGATTCCCCGTTTCTACATTGCCGTGGTGACAAGCAGGCGGCGTGAAGCAGGCGGCGGGAATGCAGCGATTGGGGTGTCGAGTGTCGACTTACAGGTAGGAAAATCCATTCATTTGTGTTCTTCGGGACCGGGATTTAGGTGACGACTAAGGGAATTTGACGACTTACAAGCGGCGAGTTACACAAGGATTTTTAAAGGAAACATCATTAGGAAAAATCGGGACTTTTGCTTGAGCGTCGACTTAGACACATTGACGAGTTACAAGACGGCGACTTAGAAAAGTTTTACTGTACTTGTGCTTTTAAAATATTTGTCAATAATAGAAGGACCTTCATTAGAATCACTAGCTAGCAATGTGTCGCCATCATTTACCCAATATGATCATCATATCTTTGACGGAGGCTTTGAGCTAGTTAACAGGAAATGTCTCATGGGACGTGTTCCCCTCTTCCTGCATCCTGAAAAGGTAATGAAGCACTAGATGATACACTGACCCAGTTTATCCTGAAAACTGTGACATACCGGTTACTTTTCATTTTACACCAAGCTAGTATTATTGGTGCATTCTACATGCAGAATTAACAATCAAACCAATTTCATCATAGTAGTTTATTTATTTAAAGGACCAGCATTAGGTGCCAGTAAGAATCAATTTGTAAGTGTGATTGATCAAAGTCCTATCATATAAATTAGAAATGAACCCATCATATCCTATTAAAAAATGGCAAAACAACTGGAATTTGATATGTAGGAATGACCTCAAATAACTCACACAGGATCTCTAAAAAGGTGTCACTGGTGGTTGGTGGTTTGCTTAGACAGTGACCCTTAGAAGGTATTGTCCCAAGCGGCCTCACATATCTCCTAATGGGTTGACTGGGACAGAGAGCATGTCACAGTCTGGTCAAGACTCCACGTTACCAAGTAAGTCATCTAAATAAAAGGGCATATTGTTTTCTCTCTAGCTTTTAAAATCAGAACATCGATCCAACAGACTTTTAAAACCACAATCATCGATCTGCCAACCAGTTATGGTGAGGGTCAAAGGGGAATCACAGCTCTTAATTAATTTTTATGCCATACCAAAAACCGCCTAACTGCAGGGCTGGGGTATGAATGTGAAAACAAAATAAAAAACAATAAGGATCCAGCAGCTTCGCTGCTTTGACCCTTAAATAGAACAACTATACTAAAAAGATTTGGTGTTTTAAACTATGTGAATACTTGAGCTTTACGCGTAAACTATGTGATTACTTGAGCTTTACGCTGAAGTATACGTTAAAACAATTGAATCGAGACAAGAGTCAAATAAAGTATATGAATGAGTTATACGTTTAGTAAGGAAAAACCCGATTCATTGTCAAACACATACGAGAAAACAGGTTCTTCGCTAGGAGCCCTTATAAAATGACAGCAGTGTTTTTGTTTTTTTTTAACACCAAACGTGCAGTGCAAGCTGACGCTAACGAAATGTCATCCGAGTTTAATGATTCTCCTTCCAAGTTTAGATGTAGCTTACAGAGATAAGATGTGCGATTGTGCAGTTAGCCAAGCAAATGGGGCTGCACTGGGAAAGCCAGTCTGGTTTTCTGACGTTTGCCGAAATGCGGAGTACGATGGTACGTCGGCCACCCGGCGCGTTGCTGAACATCGCTTCACATGATATGTGGGCTCCCGACCGCTTCTCCAGTTATTTACTGTAGGCTACAGAAATAGAAACCAGTTATTTTATGTGGTTAGAGGTGATCAGAGCATACAGTAGCTGTTAACTGAGAAGCTAATACTCTAGCTAATACTCTCCGGTCGTTGGGCCAGGGGTGTCACAATTACCGGTAGGTCGCGGAGTATGCTAGTTTTTCATGCCAGATTAGCTCTTTATCTGTTTTAAAGTAATCGAAAAATGCAAATCAATAAAGATCTCCGTTTATCCATTATTCTACAGCAATATGGTAGTTTGTTTAAAATATTAGATATATTGTACAAGTGCAGCTGTCATACAAAAATACGTCCGATTAACACGGCTATGACTTTAGTATTATTCTATACGAAAACTACAAGGTATACGTACTGCCTTTTTTTCCGCAGCTTATTTAAATGCCTGAATACCACTTGATACTTGTCTCAAATTTAAACAAGTGTAACTTAAATTTATCATTATTTTATCCTTTAGATTATGTTACCAATTGCGGTTTTAATCAGAAAATATATATTTTGAGTATCTATGTCCAGCCCTGTCAAAGTGCTAATTAAGTCATCAACTTTTATTAAAAAAAGATTCCGAAAACACTAAACAAAAATCCAAAATTAGGATACATTTTCTAAACTCATACATGCATCAAAAATCATAAACCAGTTATCTTATTGCACGTTTTAAATTATTACAGTTGACTGTATAACATGATGTATATTATGAAATGTCGTACAAATATTACAAATGTATACATTAATGGCACTTAAATTTAATGCTCAAAATAAACGATTTCCTGTCGTCTACTGTCCAAATCGATATTCCTACTATTTTCATAGGTGTCTGCAAGTCAGCTTCGTGATGCAGGAGTTATTTTTTACTCTGTCCAGTTATCCCTAGGCTCTTATGTCATTTTCTTTTGGTTCGATCTACTAATCGGTTGTCCCAACATTAGCGGGAAACGGGAGTCCTGAGATTACCGAAGCAAATAAAAAAAATATCCGCAAGGGGATTAAAACGTTATTTTTCCCTCTATATATAGGGAATTACCCTACACGCTCTATTTCCTTTTCCACAGTGATTTCTTTTAGAATTAGAAATTAGTAACATTCACGTCAGTTTCATTTGCCTCCTGGGGCATCTGCATCACTCGCAATATTATAACCACTACTAACAAGTATTATAAAATGGGAATCTTCCTGGCATGTTCACCATTCTAAGGCTTCAAGCCCAATCTAACAGTCAAGGCCTTCAAACAGTAACAGCAACGCAAGATACCATTGCTCTAATTAGTATTGTAAATTGAGACCTGATTGTAAGTTCTGTAATGACTACTCCAAAAAGTCCCACTGCTTTGTGACTACATTTTACTTAAAGACGTGACAGGAAATGAGCCTACAGATTCGTTTCTTTTCCAGCTTTTTAATGTACAAGAAATTTGTCTATACCCATGATGTTTTTTTTCTTAATTTTTCCCCAACTAAGTTCAAATGGCAGTCACAACTTTTTCATTTTGGAGGTCATGAAATAGTCTGATGCATTCTCATCACCAGTCACCATACTTCCTTTTTACCCATGTACAGTTTAAAGAGATGTATAAGCACAGGTGTACGTGTGTATGTCAAACACAATGCACAATAGTAATGTGGATTTAGCAGTATTGTGTTCATGTAAAATTCTTAAATATTACATCTTACGGTAGAAAGCAGTTTGTGTTTTTTTTGTTTGTTAGTTTTTGTGTAAAAAATAAGCATTATCAATAGTTATGGGAACAGCAAAATACATTCCATGGCTTTCCTCTTTGACTTTGACTCCTTATTAATGTAATTTGTAACTTTTAGCTATTTGTTTTCAGCTTATATTTGTGAATTAAGTTAATTGAAATAAAAGCATTTAAATGGCACTTCACCAAATTCCAGGAATATTGGCCTTTGAATGGATCATACAGTGCAAATAAAAGAATACATGGAAAGCGGGATTGAGAGGGGTTTACTTTTACTGAGGGAGATAAGACAAAGGAGGACACAGTCTCAGATTCATCATATATTTTAGCAATACACTATTCAATAATAATTACAATTACAATTTAAGCTATTGTTTAGTTTCAGCTTTTAATATCAGAACAATTATTTTACAAAAATAAACATATGACCTCATAAAAACTTTTCAAGGTATGCAAATATTCTTTGAATCACCATTTACCACTTTAGAGACACCATTTACAGGTATCGTTTATGAGAAAAATAATTGATACTTTATTAATCTGAAAATTTTAAGAAGCAACCTGTTTTTATTTGATTTCACTATCTAGGGACCCACAAACATTTTATTCATCCATTAAAGAACTTGACTGCTTGTGATTGAAAAAGTCCTGTGATTCACCCAGTGATTTTAGAGCAGTTTTTTGAGCTCTTTGGGTCACTGACATAATCTTCTTACTTCTGGGGCTTTGTGTATGTGCGATAGCAAGAAACAGTGAGAGTGAGGGACTCTGTCTACTAAAGCAACACAGTGAACAGGAGTAGGTCCCCTGAACTTCTTCATAAAGGTCACTGGATCAAATTCAACTATGCTGCACAGGAGAAGCATTACACAATGCAGTGATAACATTCAGTCACATACAGCTGTTCTCCTTGGTGTAAGCATGTATCCAATAAGAGTGAATAGCAGTGTGGTGTGGGTGCAAAATAGTTCAACAACTAAAAAGGAAGTAATACAGTTCTGAAAACAGCCAATTTGAGAAGATATTCACAGAGCAACCAATGGATTTCACAGATATTCATTAATTGATGTGTTAACATTAGGTGAGTCCCATTGGAAATGTTATTTATCTGAAATCCTGCCAATAGTATCCTTGGAAAAACTGCAAAAAGTTCATGAGAAACCAGTTAGAGAAGTCCATTACACATTTGGAAGTTGGGTATATTCTGTGTAACATTTTTCAGAAGCTCACAGTGGTAAAAATAACAGAGTAAAGAACAGTATGGATGTAACGCTAGAAATGTTCAGATTTCAAATTATTATTGGTTTGCAACTATACAAAAATATGAATTTGCATGCTTTTACTGAGCCTTTGCACATATTTAGCAGCATGTCTGAATAAATACTAAATAAATATGAAATGCAAACATACCAATTTACAGATCCCTAAAAAGCAGGAAAAAATGTATAATTACCACATTGCACTGGAAGTTTTTGGTATAAATTTCTTTCAAAGATCGAGGATATAACATAGTGGTGATAAGATATGGCAAACATATATGTAATTTAATGAAAAGTTCAAAGTAGGAAGGATGGTTTTTAACAAATATATAAATAAATGGGAGTGTTGCGTATCCACTGGATGGTTCCGACTTGCCCACTCACCAGACATTAGTGCCTTGTTTACCAATTTACATTCTTTTAGAATATGGATCAGTTTTACAGATTTTAGGATAATTTGCAGCATTCAAGAGAAACCTAGTGTAATTTGTTGTTTCAATAGAGGCAGCAGATTTTTAGATGTGCGTTTTATATACTAAAGGCTAAAGCCTGGGGTGATTTCTTTGCTTGCTTTGTACTGTGCAGTAAAAGCATTTTACAGAATGTCGTAATTCATAGCAATTTTTAAAAACTTTTTGAACGTTTGCATTGTTAACCCAAAACGTAACTGTGTAAATGGGTCCCTTTTAAGCTTGAAAACAAAACACATAGATTATCAAACCTTCGAGAGGCAAACAAGCCCTTGGAAATAAAACCCTAACCATGAAAACATGAAAACGCACAACAAACCTAACTAGAGGTATCGGGAACATTCATCCCCAGGATGATGTAAATGGTGGTATGATGCACAACTGCATGTCCAAAGCAATATTTGTAGTTCATATTCAGCTTGGCAGCCAAAGGCAGCAAAATCAAAATCCCAAGGAAAAACCTAAAATCTTACAGGGGATTTCACAGCACAATATTTAAAAATATAGACCCCAGTAAGTCAGCCTTCAGTAAGATAACATTAATACAGTATATACCTATGTATATATTGTATAATTAAATATTCAATCAGGTTAGCCACACTAAACTCTCTCTCTCTATATATATATATATATATATATATATATACTGCATGAAGAAATTAAAATATTTAAAAAGCTGAAAGAACAACGAATACGTTAATACACAATTTTCATCTATAAAAGTGCAAATATTCTACTGAACAGCAAGACAAAAAAAGTTAACAAAAGACAAAACTTGTTTGACTAAAACAACATAATGAATGTCTGAAAGACATCGGTATGCATGTACATTATGTATATACAACCAGTGGATGTCGCTTCTGTTTCTGCTGCACTTTAAGTGGCTGAGAGAATCATGCTTCTCTGTATGAGTTTCCTGCCAGGCAGTACATGCCAGGTTACAGCGTCTGCTGCCAGTCTGAATCTGTCTTAGCCCGACAGCCAATCAACCTCCTTTACTTCAGTAGAAAAACATCAGAGAGCCAGGCAGGGTTCTGCAGCCCTGCCCTGCAGATGCATTAAAATATGTCTGCAGTAATATGCGCCCAGGGCACAGCATGAATGTGTTGAACTGGACAGGTGTCCAAAGCCAGACAGAGGCCTGGAACCAGAAACACTGCATTCTGCAAGACCATTCAACCTGAACATCAGGATCTTTTTAAGACATACGTTAGAGAGGTTAACACCCAGAAATGCTAAAGAAATAATTACAAAAAATAATTTTTAAATTCATTTTTCCTTAGCTGACATATTAAAGGATCTATAATGATTACTCAAATAAACGTCTTTCACTTTTAATTCTGAAAATGTTGTAGAAATTAATATGGTTTATTATTGTTATAAATAGACTTTTTCCCATACAAGTTAAGCATCTGTGCCCCATCATTTGATACACTTTATACAATCAATCATTTTAAAAATGTACATCATACTCACAGTTCCTATATTCACAAATGGGTGAAATGTCTTTATATCATCCATATTAATTTGCTCATAGTGGGCTTCTTCCCATCGCTACTCACAGATCTAGTTGTGTTTTGGTATCAAAAATACAAATTGAATTATCACCTGGGCTTTCGAGTTGTAAACTGACTGTATATTTTGTGAAATCTTGGTCTTTATTATTTGGAACCAAAGTGGCATAAAAAGTAGGATAGGTGGTGGTAATTTTCTGCTGGCAAAGGAGTACCATTGTAATATCATGATGTAAAGACAAATTACACCACAGCAAATTTCAAATGAAAGTTACAAAGAGGAAAATGTTTCTTGATCAGGATCATTTATGGACCTCATTCCAAACTTAACCAAACTCTGGTTGTGTTAAACTTCAGCAAAGACTTATTCACTTATTTCAGAATATACAACTTTTCAAATGAATGGAGGGATAGTAACAGTGATCACAATTGTTACAGCCATCGTTTCAAGCTCCCCAATGTGTATGGCACAGATGCAAAGCGTCTGCTGAAATACTACTTTTGAGTAATGACACCTTCTGCTGAGGTCACTCTGGGTGTCAAAGGGAAGTTCTGTGGAGCTTTAAGACGCTGGAACAAAGATGTTGAACAAGGACATACAATGGGATGCAGAAACATTTCATTGAAAGAACTAGATACCGGAAACTGACAGTTTACTGCTAGGTGTTATGGGCAAATAAAAAAAAAAAGAGCCGAGATGGGAATATTGAAACACAACAGAGCATAATGTGTTGCAGCCGGGTCTTGAAAGTGCAAGCTATAAGCCAGCTCCTCTGCTTTCCATACTCACGCTGGCCACGCTGCCCACTCAGGATGTAGACATCCACTTCAGCTTTTGGGAGGAAAACTAATCTTTTCATTTTCAGCTAACGACGCTCCAAAGGTCACTCAGTCACCACTGCCGCCGCGTGCGTGCGTCCTCTCACTGCAGACATCGCCGAAGCGGAGAGGGGGCTCTCCAGCACACTGCCGTACAGTCCCACAGTCTTGTGTGCCCGCGACACTGGAGATGCTACTGAAAGTGATGTCCGACCAGAAGGGGACGGGGAGATCCCCCCTCTGCCCCTTCCAGCAGTTCACAAAGCACACAGGTATACTGGAACTGGAAGCACAGGGACATCTTTTCTTCTTCCCTTGCACTAATCTAGAACATTCTGTGCCCAAGCAGTCTTTATTTATCCCCAGACCTGCCATCGCAACACACTGTCCAGCAGGGTCTGCATCCTGGCTGTCGAATAACGTTAGTCTTGTTAATCTCTCTGGTACTTAGGCCTACCCCACCCCAAAATCCCCTCTTTCCTTAATTCCGATGCAGAGGTCAAAAAACAGGTAAGGCCAGGTGACAGAGGAGCTACATCATGTCAACATCGTTATGTTTGTGCGTCTTTTACTCCTGCTGGATGACAGCTACATGTAACCCCCTACTTTCATATGCACCGGGTGTCATCATTCCCTAAACCAAAAAGGATACAAAAGATTAGTCTTCCTTGCTACAAAAAATATATATGGCATGAGTGGCACATTTGTTTTTTCTTCTTATTTAAAAAATTTGTAGCTATGTATAGTGAAACAATTCACTTTTTGTAATATAGGGAAAACACAACGAACAACACAGCAAATCGATATAAAAGAAGACAAACTATGGATTTCAGTTTCAGGAAGGCAAGGGCTTGGCTGGGCAAATGACAAGTGACCTTTGACATCCAAATTTAATAATTGTTTTAATAATTGTTAAAATGGTTTTTGCAGATACACAGACTTCCCCCATCCCTTTTGTTGTTAACTTATAATAAAATTAATACAAAAAATAAAAAAAAAACCTACTTTGGAAGATAAAAACACATGCTGTACAAAAGGTGGGTGTCTTGCCAGGCAACATGTTATAAAGTGCAAATTTACCTTTATTTTTTTCCCTTCTGGATGAACTGGCCACAGTCAAGACATTCAGTATTTCATAGTATGTAAAGTTATGGTAAGAAAGAATAAAGCAGACTAATAACCAGGAATCGGTGGTGTTTGAAAACTACAATGAAGAACAATTCTCTTGCTAACAAATTCCTCCAAATTCATACAAGCATCTGGTAAACCAGGGGCACTTTAAGGAGAATCAGTAATCAACATGAGACCTTGGTCTTGACATATTCATTATTGCCATTTAGAAGCTTTTCAAACAGATGTTTCCCCAATGCACTTGCCTGTCTGACTGCAGGCAATGTTCAAGCTCCACCAACTTGTTATATATTCAATTCCCCCAGAAACACTCAAAGTTAAAATGCCCAAAGGAAAAGCTTGGAAAAAGCTTCAAAGTATTATCATAGTAACTTCAAGGCACAATACTATTCTATAAAGACATAACAGACCTAAATTTCAAACGAAATGGATTTAACAGTCATCATACTATGACAATGTCGTTAATGACTGGGAAATATTTCATTGGGACTTGTTAAGCCTAAATTTGTATCTAGTAAATCATTTAAAATTATTTGTAGCTGTAAATTTTTATTTACATTTTTTTTTAATGCTTCAAATAAGCGTAACAAATGAATACGACTGTAGCAGCAGAGCTCATGCTAAAAGCAGCATTAGCGCCGAGCTGCCGGGGCTCAGCCAGGAGACACACCGAGAGCAGGAGCGAGCAGCTGCTTTCCTGGCTGCAGCAGGCTGAGCGACTCGCCCCGACCGCGGCCTGGGCTGAATGCTCGCCATCTGCCTGCCAGGGGCAAACGACGAGAGTCAGACGGCGTCTGAGGAGATGACAGCCAGAGTACTTTCAGCGCAAGCCGCATTCAGCCTGCTTGAGGGAAAGAGGCGCAGTGTTTGCCTGCTGTAAATACAAACAAGCCTGGCATTCTCTCTGGCAGCATTCTTTTTAGCTGCTGTAAACTCATCGCGACTTGACACGGAAAGATCGTTTTTTAGCAGTTGGAACAAAATACTTGAGCAAATATATGTCCTGGACAATTTCCTCCAGCTGTATCACAGCAATTTAAATTTACCAAATTACTCATAGGAAATAATATTTGGCAATCAACTGCTCTGAATTAAAACACGATACTTGATGTGGTGAGACGTATATTTTTGTTAGGTTGCAAGTTATCATGTATATGCAAAACATGTTTCAAAATAATAATAAATAAATAAGAAGAATAATACAAGCAACACCATTAGAACCTAATAGGGAAAATATTTAATCAGCCCACCTTAGACTTTTCGTTTACTTTATTTGGAAAGAGATTATAGCTTTAATCAAAGGCCACTTCTATCACCCAAGTCAATCTCCAAAGCAAGGCACTATCCCTTCTGTTGCAGCCAGGCTGTTTGCACTTTTCGTAGAGATTACTTCTTGTAATCGAAGCCACATGGCATCAACATTCATGCCTGGAGGTTTCAGTTTGTTTGTTTAACTCATTAATTTGTTAATATTGGTTCCACCTTCTGTGTACCATTGTCCACTACAGGCCATGGTTGCCCTACTTGGATGGGTTAGTTTTGCCCTTGTATCGCTCCAGCTCGTCGTGTCAGCGTCCTTCCCAGCTTCTCCTCCTCAGGCCCCCACTTCACAAAGTCCAGATCAGGGGCGCAGTCCCCTGGGGAGTGCGCCCCCGGGTAACCGAGTGCTCGAAATGATGCTCTGCAAAATGGTACGTTTGGAGTCACCGGGGAAACCAGTGAGAGACGCAGACAGCACATGCTCAGTGAGCCACACGCAGGAGGGGGACACAGTGTGGCAGTGCCACGCTCACAGACACTGGCGCCTCGCTTTTCCAGGTGCTGCTTTTTTTTTTTTTTTTTTTCCCTTCAGATTTGAAAATGTTACGTAGCCCTTTTCGAGCAAGATTGCTCTTTTCCTATGAGCCCCGACCTGAGACTGCCACGGTCGGGGGAGAAGGGAGGCGAGGGGAGGAGAGCAGGACACGCTCACACTGCTCAGTTCAGCTCTCTGCTTTGTCCCGTTACGTTAAGGGATCTGTGTCGTTGCTGTGAGGATACGTTAATGAGGAGTTCAAATAAGTTCTGGATTACACTGAAAGATCTCAACTACTTACTTGTTTGATTGTCAGTGTTATGTCCTTTCTTAAACTAAGACAGATACCAGAACAAGAAAATAGGATGAAAAGAGGATGCCACTAGATAACTAGTCTAAGATACTGGTCTGTGACAGTGATAAACATTGCTGAAATTAAGCCTTCAAAACTTTCCTAATAAATAGAGCTGTGTACAGTCGCCATGCAAGTGTGAATCTCTACTTTTTTTTTATAAAAAAAAAGGTGTGTAGAGCCTTAAAACACAGTATTTCTCTATTTCTAGTGTATACAAGCTGTCTAATAGCAGCTTTAATCTTTTAATCAATGTCTTCCATTGTGATTGTGGTGGATTTACCCTATATCTCAGGTGATGCATCTGCGTATTAACATATCTGAGCCTGTTATTTTCTTACGCAGATTGTGGAGTCTTCAGAGCACACTGGACTTACTTCCTCTGATAAGATACTGCAATGTATAGTCTGTCCTGTCTTTGTGTGATATCCAGCACGTTGTCTTTTTGTTTTTCTTTTACGTCTACCAAAAACAGACGGGGGCATTTAAAACAGCAGCACTCTCTGACATGCTATATCTGGCATCACCTCGCTGTCTCTCTGGAGGTTTGGTCACATTGTGGCTGACTTAGTCCTCCGAGTGTGTGTACAGGCCTTTCACCTCACAGGACTCTACATCATGCACCAATGTGTGGGTCCGCGCTCGTGTCCTAACTCTCCTGCCATTTTTAGCCCACAGAGACAGGCATAAGGCACAATGAATTTTGGGGAAAAATGTTTATGTTACACCAGCATTAGTGGATTATAATACAGAAAGCGGTTGTGGTATTGTTTGCCTCATCACCCGGCACGAGATCCAGCATGCAGTTATTTAGACGACAGTTCATGCTCATTGGAAGCTGATTGTAAGCGTGGGAGGACTGCCACAGCACAATTACGACGCAGCTTTCCAGGTGCTATGGAATCTTCCATTATAAAGGGGGCATTATCTGATTAATTTCTTATGAAGACTTGGATATGAATAAACATCAGTGAAGAATGGACGACTGTGGATCTGACGCTGACTATCCTTTCTTCTCTCAGCCTACTTCTTCCTACCGGTCCACAACACAAATGTCTTTTTACTGTAATTCATCAATACAGAATTAGCATTATACAACCAATTATGTCAAGCAACTAAATGCACTTAGAAGTCTATATTAAAAATGTGGCAGACATCAATATCTCACACTTTAATATCCCACAGTAATAAAATATCATTTGATATTCTGTAGTCACTTTAGAAATAGCCTGGGAAACTTGCTGCCTGGATTGTATTGTCATGGAACAGCCTGAGACTAGTCTAAACCAAAATGTAACCTATTGTTATCTACGTCCCAAAACAGAACAGGCCAAATGAAGGCAAGGTGAAGCAACTAGGCAGGTTCTCCATTGAATGCATATTGATTTTTCTAAACAACAGATTGATTGATAAATCCACAAATAGTTCTTCAGCACTTTTCATCTATTTTAAAACCAGACTTGCTTTATAACTGCTCTACTATTTTTTTTGGTTATTTTTTACTGGATCTACTGAAATAATCCATAAACTCCATAATCCCAAACCCAAGGTTTCAGTTGTGGGCCCCCAGGACAATATTAGTATCAGACATTGATCTGAAACAGTTGTGCTTGCAATATGACCCTACAATTATTAAATTCAATTAGATATTTGTTCAACCAAAGAATTGAGACAAGGCAATAAATCCTGCCATTTCTAAATCTGGAGACAAGCTGTTTAAATCGGTTTAATAACCATGACACAGGATGCCTTTATCTTAGCTCTAAGTAGCTTACCTGTCTTTTCCTGTTACTCCGTCCCTTCTTCTGATTTATATAAGTATTTACACATTGCTGTTTTTTTATATAAAAACCATCAAGACAAAATATATAACTCCCAGGAAGTCACTGTTCCACAGCTACACAAAAATACATGTACAATCTTCTAGAGTGCAATCATAAGAAGAGAATGATGAACACTCCAATGAACCAGAAGTCCTGCCCCTTGCTGTTCACTGACTCTCCAAAATGAGCCCTCGCACTTTAAGCTGCAGCCAGAGAAAGGGTAGGTTTTCAGATCAAGACAGACCAAGACAGAAGGTAGACAGAGAACAATGAGAAGGCCAAATCCGTACTTTCATTACATGCCTTGCACGACTTGGAAGTTTAGTGTCTGCTGAACTCTCTTTTCATTTTTAGGTCTCTTCCAGATCTTTGGGAGTGTAAATGGGCCTGAAGCTCAATCTGACCATCTGTCTCACATGTGCACACACACATACACACACTAGGTTAGTGTCTTGCAGATGGAAGTCACTGTACAGTCGTCTGTGCATGTACATGTGCCTGTAAACCTAAACTATGCTCCGAAACCTACCACTTGAATATGTATTGTCCTATCTGAATGCATATGGGATGCAGGACACATCACGGCTGTGAAACCAAAAGCTGCTTTTGGTTTATAATATGTCAACTGCACAATGCTGCACAATGATCCCTATTCCGGTAAGGAATTACATATACTCATTGTCTCGGAATGGACTGTGGCATCAACAAAGCAATTCCAAAATTGTAGCATGCATAACCATTTTGTGCTACATATTTTGCTTTTTAACCCACAGTTTGGGATTACTACTCAAAACTAAACCTATTTATTTCCTAATAGCCAACTTCACAATGAAACGGAGAAATAATCAGAATGCGAGAGCATGCAAACAGAGAGTACTGAAATATTGTACAGGTCTCAACCTCCGGACATGAAACATAAATCATTGCGTTTGGTGAATCAACAGCTTGTCTGCTGAAAACAGGAAAGGGCCTAAAAGATTTCAGGTACTATCATTCTTCCTTGTCATATTTTGTATGATAACGCGATTCATTTAACAAAAGGTGCTTCACCACTTACAACGAAGGTAACAGTTTTTTTTTTTTTTTTTTTTTTAAACATTTTGTAAATCATTTCATAAATACATATGACACACAAGAACTTCCTCGAGTGGATTCAGGTACTTAAAATGATGTCTTTGGAATAATGCAGAATTTAAATATCCCAGCTGTTCATTATTACAGACGTATGTAATTATGGTACATATACCAATTACAATTGATTTTTACGTTAAGTACATTGCCAGCAACCTTAAAACAACAAGATGACACTTATTATGGGCATTTAAAACATATTACTATTAAATAATTTTATTTGAATAATCACACTTATCCAAATAATTTCCTTATTCAAACATGAAGGGCACTGATAGTATTGGGCAAAAAACATAAAACAAGAGATTAAAAAAAAAAAAAAAAAAAAAAAAAAAGATTCTTTGGTAGCCTTTAGTTTGACGCAAACATGATTTTTTTCTAACATAATTCTGTTGCAAAAAAAAAAAGTATTGGATGGAGTAATATTGGCAAACAAGGGCACTGAGGACCGAGTCGGAGGTGATGCCGCATCCTGCACACTAAGTACATGGAACGGCTGAGCCTAGGCACCAGGGTAGCTGGAGTAGCGGCTCTGAGTTAATGTTGTGCTTGTGACGTCTCCTCTGCCCCCTGCGTGTCTCAGTGCAAACTGCCCTTCATGTATCAACTAGTGACAGAGAGAAACCGTCAGGGGGCACATAATGTTGGAGGTGACAACACACTGAAGTTTTATTTATACACGTAGAAAAGAATGTCAGCCTATTAAATATTTGAAATACTACGATACAATGCTAACTTCACTCACTTTCATTTTTAAACAGGAGATTCATACATTGGTTTTCAATATATGCTTCCCTAAATAAGGACTGAGATTACCTGGAGCTCATCCCAAAAAATGCAGAGGTACAACCTGCATGGGCTTCCACTATAACAGTCATACCTTATCAAACGGAGAGCTGATCAGCAGCCCCATGACGGCTTCAGTAAAGGTATCTTGATTAAGTGTGTGCGGTAATTGTACAGTTAGCACTGGAGCAAGAATTTAAAAGCCCAAAACGGAAGCTCCTTAAAAGACTTTTAGTCTGAAAGGGTACAGACATCATTCCCCTTCACCAGCTGACAGGAAGTTCTTATTGGACTGTGGCAAAAAAAAACAAAACAATAATAATAAGAAAATGAAATCTCTATTCAAAGCTTCAGTGGAGATGGAACATCACAAGGCACGTCACATCACGCAGACTGTGGGACCCAAATCAAGCTGAAAAACTTCATACTACTGCTCTAGCGAGAACATCATAACAAGCCACAGTCCTCGTGCTATGGCGTATAAAATTACAATGTAAGGGAGAGGGAGACCTAAAACGGAAAAAATATTCCGGAGGTTAACTTGGGGGAAATTAAACAGGGTCATTTCTAATGCAGTTCAAACACTGGGTTGTAAAGTTTGGTAACCAGGCAAGTTTGTAATTTGCTTCTAGCAGAAAGCCAAGGTTTTCTGTGCATGTCGCCTCTCTCTCCCCCAGTAGCATACTGTAGAACAGTGCTTTCCAACCCAGTCTTTCGAGAGCCCCTAAGAAAGTCCATGCTTTTGCTCACAGTGAGCTGGGATGGGGGTCCATTAGGGCCGGGTTGGGAAACACTGCTATAGAATAGCATAGGAGAGTGACAGTATTTACTGAAGATGTTGCTAAGGTTTTCATAAGATTGATGCAGCACATAATAGACTTCCCTTATTTATGCTAGTTATATGAAACATTGTGAAAATAATTTGTACTCTGAAGTGAGGGAAAAAAAACACTTTACATTTTGTTATGTGCTGAAATGACAAAGACTTTGAGTGGCATTTCATCATCCGGGGGGGGGGGTTGGGGGTCCAAAGAAGCATATAGCCTCACAGATCCTCCACATCCCTGAAGCTTTGAAGGAGTAACAATAAGAAGGGTTGTCTGATGGGATAAAAAAAAAAAAACCTATGGTATATAAAATAATAATAATAATAATAATAATAATAATAATAATAATACTAAAGCTGAAAATAGACTTGCAAATTTATCCGGAAGCAATCTGTTTTTTCTTTTGTCGTTATCATTGTTGGTTAAACAGCCCAACCCACAGAAAGAACAAGACAACAGCTGCCTTTGTTTTATCATATATATACATGTATATGTATGTATATACATATATATATACATAAATATACACATATACATATGTTTATACATATATATATATATATATACACACACGCACACACACTTTTTTCCTTTTTTTTTTCTTTTTTTTCCTCTTTTTTCAAAAAATTGCTGCTCTCACTGCCAACACCTCCCACCCTTCGCATGTTTCTGCCCTCTTGGTTAAGTCAGTCAGCTCACTCTCTCGCTGACTGGCGTCCTGGACTCTACCGTCTCCTCCCGGCTGGGCCTGGGCACAGCTGATGTGGGCACGATGTCCTTCATTTCCCTTCCCTCCACCCCCTCGCCCACCCGGTGCTTGCCTTTCAGGTCGCTGGCCACTGCTGCTGCCGCTTGAGTCTTGGTCACTGTATCCCTGCTGGGACAGCTGTCGGCTCTGGCAACCTCCTTGTGGGCCAGGAGCTGCTGCTTGTCTTCGTGGCAGGACCTCGGGGTGCTCAAGTCCTGGGGCTCGTTGTCTTGGAAAGCCGGAGCCCCCCCCTGTGTGGCTCGGCCGTGGGAGTGTTGGTGTGCGTGCGCTGGGTATGGGGCCGGCTGTGAGGGCGGCAGAGGCGGAGGCGGGGGCGAGTGCGGATGGTGGTGATGGTGGTGGTGATGGTGTTTGTGCTGCTGTGCTCGCTCCTTCTTCTGGGTCTTGGAGGGGCTGCTGCTGCCACTGCTGCCCCCGCTTCCCGGGGACGCCGGCGCCTCCTTGTGCTTCCTTCCCGGGCTTTTTGGCAACTTCGGTCCCTTTTCCAGCACGTCCACCCCGGCCATGGCACCTGTCCCCGCCCCCTGGCCCAGCCCTTGCCCCGCCCCCGGCTCCACCCTAGTCTCTGTGGCAGCAGCGACCGGTGTCGCTGTGACGGGCGCCTCCAACTCCTCCACAGTCTCTCGCGTCTTGCGCTTCTTGATGGGAAGTGCCGTTTCCTGCACCGGCTTTGCGGAAGACTCCTTAGGGGCCTTCTTCTTGGCCTCGGTGGCCAGCGTGATGGAAGTCGTGTAGGGAGTGCTGGAGACCATCCCGCCGGCGACAGGGGTCATGGCTGGCTTGCGGCCCCTCTTTTTCGGAGCAGTTTGCGGTTCCTGCTCCATCTTTCTTTTGCGGCCAGGCCGCGTTTTGGTGCCTGTAGCCTGTCCCGAGGGCCCACCCACCTCTGTCTTCGACGAGACGAATGGCATCTTGACCAGCAGTTTGCCAGGGCTTTTCTCCACCACTCGCTTCATGGCCACACCCTCTGTAGCCTGCCGCACCTTGCCGCTGCCTTTCGGGCGCCCTCTCCCCCGTCCAGAAGCTTTCACGACCTTGGGCTTCTTCGGGGGCTTCTTCTCACGCCGCGAAGGACTCCCACGGCCCGTAACCGTGAAGTCAAAGTCATTGGGGTCGGTGGTGGTATCTCCTACCTTTTGGAAGTACGCTATCAGCTCCACTTTGGAACGGAAGGCTTTCCCATCTGGGCTGAAAAATAAATTTGATTTTTATTATTATTCATAAAAACAACATTGTTAATCTTTCAATCTGCCTGTTAATCATACACCTTGTTTAAAATTTGCTCTAAAATAAAAAAGAGACCTCTTCTCATTTATTAATACATATCCTAGTAACATGTAGCAGTGAGGGTAAGTGCTCTGGGGTGAGTTTCCCGAAGCCATCTTAACAGTATGTCATTCGTAAGTTCTATGTAAAAAGATAGGACTTACGAACAACATAGCGTTAAGGAGGCTTCCGGAAACTCACCCCCGAGTAATTCTGACAGGTGTTGTGCACCAGCAAGTCAGTTTCTGTGGCCCTTCGCCACCAGTCACTGATTCTTTTCCTAGGGGGTGGGCCTTCAGAGGGAGGCCTGCAGAGAAGCACCCTGTAACCCAAGAATAGCCTGCGATATGGGGCACACGGCTGTGGGTGTCACACTGCCCCATATTGTCCTGCCTGCATCAATCAGTTGGCCCAATTAACCCACTGGGAATGCTCCACCACGCACGTCACAATGTCAGATTATACAGGATCAAAGCGCATCTTAGAAAATCAATCCCTCCCCTAGCCCCCCTTTCCAATGCTTCCCACCACATATGCCGCTAGGCATGAAATCATTAATAGTGCAAGAGACTGTTAATAAAAGTGATGTAGGGTCCATGAGGGCAAGGCACGCAGATGTTTCTCTGGACCTTGACAGTTTGATCGTTTGTCAGCATGTTGCAGACTGGGGTGGACTTGACCCCAGGAGAGCTCTGGCCACATAAGAGCTTCCCCGGTATAAGACACTGCAATGCTCCGCAGTTCCTGACTCTTACTATCCTCTCTATGTTGCCACTGGGGCACATTCAGCTTTAAAAAAAGACAGTTTGCTAATGAGCTTCATGCATGTTCAGATTGTGAGGTGTGCGACTTGCTTTCAATCAAATCCATGTTTAAAATGAAACGCAAACCATTACTATACACAAACCAGTGATATGCTGTTATGCAAGGTCTATTAATACAAAGCTTGGGTTGACCGTGATGACAAAAATTTTATGCGAATTATGTCCCAAGATTTCTGAATTATTTAAACACATAAAGCTATTAGAGTGTGCAACAGATGCTGAGACTCTGGCAGATCGTGGATAAGAAGATTACATCAATTTTGGTTTTTACATGAACGTGAAATCAGTTAACTGATACTCATCAGTAAGCAGCCTTATATTTAGGCTATTCATTAAGATAAAGAGACATGAATCTCATTAGATAATCACATGATATAGCCATCTTCATGTCAAAAGGTGTCAGTATTCCACAGTGGTGATGGTCTCATTTATATGCATATAATTTATATGCATATAGTGTGTGCCATATCATAATAAAAAGGAATTAATCAGCTGTGTGGAATCTCTTCCAAACTGAAATAATTCACAAAACAGCCAAACCTTTGCATGCCGTAGAACTCCTACTGATTTAATGTGGCTGCCTTTGAATCGCTGTGTTAGGATATCTTTTAGATATTGCATTGTAAACATGGCATGGTCCACCTGCCCTGCTCACTGAGGATCCCATCCCTGTCAGCATGGAGCCGTCAGGGCTGCATGGCTGACCGGCGCGTGACTTCATCCTAAGCGCTAGTGTGGATCACACTTGGCAAAGCCTACAAGAAAAGCTAAGCTGTGATAAAGACACTGGTCCCCCAGTGGTACTGCATGCCGGCGCATCCCAGAAAAGCGACAGACAGCAGCTCTTCAGCTGAATGTATATCCACTCCCACAGACAAGCTCCACACATCCTCCATGAAACTCAGAGCAAGCTGAATTAGAAATTATTACCTTTTTAACAGTGCAGCATAAATTTCCTCCAAATATTAAATGGGTCCTTTCTTGGTCTCTGACTGATGATTTGTACGCTGCCGTTTGTATGCTCAGCTGAAGGCAGGGGCCCGAAATGTGCCAGAACCTTGTCAATCTGCTACACAGGTCCGGTGTATTTTGCTGTTCTACCAGTATTTTCACTGCTGTGTCTTTGAAATGTTTTCAGTATGGAAACGAAATGCTGGCAGTGAGCTAAATAAATGGCTGATGAGAATACACCTCCTATAAACGTATGCATCAGTCACACCTTCACAGTGCTTTAAGTAATTAATTCCAATCCAGCTGGATGAGCACCAGAATCATCCTGTGAATTTACACGTTTGTGACAGATGTTCAGTGATTTTATGCATATTGCAGTGTATTTCTCCAATACTCACAGGCCATCTTTCTCAGGTCTGGTGTCAAGCTTTAAATATAAACAAAAAAAAAGAGAGATCTCTTTTATTATTTAATATATGAAATACGTCCACAGATGCTAATTTGGATTATAACCTTTCCACTTCTACCCATCAATTTTATGTTGATCTTTTTGTAGTTACAATGCATAATTTTAATCTGGAAGTGTGACCACCGAGATCAAAGGTTTTAGATGAACATCTCCTCAAAGTGAGCAAACCACCTAAAAAGTCCTCCTATCTAAACAGTTTTCCCCCATATACACCTAGCTACAGCAATTTTCCATTGAATCATATCAAACTATCAAGCAAAACCAAAATGACACTGATAACATTTGCTTAAAATTCTGCAGTGCAACCCAGATAAAGTTGCTCAGGCAACTTATTGCACTACTGTTTGTCCTGTATTGCACTGGTTTTTTTGTCCTGTGCACAAGAATTTCACTGTGTTTCTTGGAACACGTGACAATAAAAACTTTAAATCCACGCCAAACCCACTGCAATAACATGTGCCCATGTTTTCAGCTGATAACACAGTCATGAGCAACATGACTTAACTTGCACTGGAAGCCCTCTAAAATGAAATGCAGGCAGCTGGTGGGCCCCGGCAGTGAGCGCCTCACATGCTTTTAAGGCTGAGTCAGTCGGCAGATGCCCCATGCCGGGCTTGGGCTGCGCGGTCTCCAGGGGGCACCTGCTCGGAGTGAAACCCTGCGGGTGAAGCAGGCACCACGAGGTGGGCGGCGCTGTCATCTTTGACGCTTGGAGCCCACTGAAAGGGGCTGTTGGGGTTTCAGATCCTTATTCAAGCACACGCTGCTTTGACCGGCGGCTGTTTCCTCAGCGGCCAAGATTCCGCCTCCGTAACAACCATTTTATTTACACAAATAATTTGATATATCACTTCAGTCGATTATTTATCCACATTCCTTTGTTTGTTTTTTGTTAGTCTTTGCTAGAGATTCGTGTGTTTGAAGTACCTCATAATGTTAAATGATTGTTAGATGACCAGAAAATACCAAAACAGCACTTCTCTGTTTTACTCTGATCAGTTACATGCTCACACTGTGATTAAACAGCCATGCTTTCTGTAGTAAGAAGCCTAGTGAGACTCAGTTTTCTAAAAGAGGGCTGAACGTTGACAAAAGGGTAACCCACAGGCTATGCTAGTTTACTCATGGTCTTACCCTCAGCTTAGCTCTGCCAGCAGTGCCTTTGTGCGAGACAGCCTGAATAAACAGGCAGCTTTATTAAAGCCTTAAAGTCATGCTGCTTAATCGCTGTCTTTTGTGCAAAGTGGCATGTCACTCTGCCATGGCCCTTTCGGCTTGCATGAAGGCACTTCTTGGAAATGCTGAGTACAGTGAGTATGCAGGCAACTGAGTATGCAGAGTGAGTCACCAGACTGATGTAGACATGGGGAAAATGAGAACGGACTATATAGCCCAATTTAAGTTGCACATAGTACAAATTTCATAGTATTGCAATTAAAATGCAAATAAAAAGATCACTAACTATTAGGGCTGCACGATATTACATTGAGATTATATGGATTATGCATTAATCACTATTGGTGGGTTTCCTGAAACCTTATTAGCGATACGTTGTTTGTAAGTTCTATGTTAAAAGATAAAACTTACGAACGATGTAGCGCTAAGCAGGCTTCGGGAAACTCACCCAGGGCTCAAAATGACGGGCGTAAACATTTTTCCAGATGCCAGTTTTTCGAAACTATATGGACGTTTGTTTACTTAATTTGGTAATCAGATTAGTAGTATGCTCCACTAACCAAATTTAAAAAACATAGGAATGCACAAAATTTATACAGATTACCAACTTCTGGGTGCCACAAAACGCCAGTCATCTAAAGCCGTGGTGATTATTGCACATGTGCTATGTGTATAATTACAACTATATAGCGATGTGATACCATACAGCTCTACTTCCAATTTACTCTTAAGGGGTGATAAAAGGTCCTGGGATAATTTGTATACCAAACTTTACAACCTTGATTCCAAGAGCAATCAGGTAGCCAAAAATCAGCAAAACTCCATGTTGATATTGTGGATTAATATTTTTGCACATCACATCAGAAGCACTGCCATGTAATCCTCGCTGCGTGATGCACTTAATTTTGGAGCTTCTGCTGAATAAAACTGTAAATGCATTTGTTCCTTTAGAAAGAGTGTAAACAGACCAAACAGTGCTGGCACCATATTTGAAACATTCTGATTTTTCTGTTCTTTTTTTTCTCACTCCAAGGAGCTAAATCTGCCTAAAAGGCTCCAGCAGAACAACAGAGCATGTGTTGTCTGTGCAAAAACCGTAATCAAGAAGCCAAAGTATGATCACTCAGATCACAACGGGTCACAGATAAGCCCTGTGAAAAGAGGCCGGCTCACACTGAGCTGGAGTCAGCCCTCACTTGAGAGCTAAAGCAATTGTGTGCAGGCGGCAGGGCCTGCTAAGAGCAGCGGCTTCGCGCCAGTAGCTGCGCTGGCCCTTATTTGTACAATGTGAGCGCATAGCAGTCAGGGGGGCAGAGGAGGTGCCTAACACAGACGTTCTGTGGATGAGCCACGGCGGGATGTGTCTGACAGGGAAGCTGTCAGGCCTGCGCGGCTCGCCGATGACAGAACACATGGCTCTGACACGGCACTTCCCGGAATCACACTCCTGCTTTCGCCAGCGCACCTCCGCCGCCGGGTGCTTCGCCACCCAAGCCTGAGTCATAAAGGAGCAGGAGAGCTGCTGGCCAGCCAAGGTTCACCACGGAAATGCTCGATCGACGGCCGATAGGTAGTGGACCAGCGATGGCGGCTGCCTGAAACAGCCTGCACACGTTTCAGACGGCTGACCTCAGGCAGGGAGCAGCTCCTGCCAATAAGCTGAAGCTTCTTAGGCTGCATTATACAAAACTCTGCATTGAAATTCTACAGATGAGACGGCCCTGAGAGTAGCGCCTGAAAGGATCTCGTAGTGGCTTACGGTCCTGCTGGTACTCGTCAGCCTAAACCTCCACTAAAGAGGATGAGAAAGAACTGCGTCTCATTCTGCCATTAGGTGGGCTTTCGCATGAATAAACTCGACACGTGCAGACACGAAGATCTCACACAGCAGTCCTGACTCACAAAGCCAGACAAATCCCCCACTTACTAAGGGTCTCGGAAAAGGACGGACACACCGGGAACGCAGATAAGGAGACAGCTCCAGGATTAAAGCACAAACCAAAAATGCACCAATACCACACGATACACTTCAATGTCAGACCCAACATCATTCTGTAATTACACCTTCGCGTGTGCCCTCAGGGGAGAGCTTGGCTGATGCATACGTCACAGTATGAGCCAGACTACCATAGTGCAGCAAACCCCCTGTCCCCTTCTATGGATTCTCAGGTCCCATCTGCTCCTAGACTAACTTCAGAAACTTCTGTTTGGGACAGGGACAGCTCATAAGAAACACACTGCATTTCAGCACACCTCTGCTAGCATCTGGAGAGCCCTGTGTTTTCTCATACACCTCTCCAACTTCCTACAGATTTTGAAAGGAAAGAATGTCAATGGAAACCATTCATCAAAAACTCCCTCTTCAGTTAATTAAATGGTGCAGCTGAACGAAGGGCTGGAAATTCCAAGAATGTGTCTGAAGTATGTGAAGTTGCACCACTTGGGGGAAAAAACATTTACGTTCACTACATTTATCTTACCCGCTAGGGGGAGAATTAGTTCTGAGATGAGTGACAGAATCACTGGAAAATATGACACACAGCAACTTATGATTCTCACTTTAAAACTAAATTCGCTTTACTCATTTAGAACTTTGTCTGTCTCACAGCCTGAAGTCAAAATGTAATACTTTTTGCAAACACGCTTCACAATTTTGTGTAAAAGGGCCAATGCTTTAAAAAATTTTCATAATGACAAATTTGCATAGTTATGGTATAAAAGTTGGGAGCTAACCAACAAGTTTTACCCAAACTTCTCTAAAATGCAACAGCTCAGCAAGTTGTCGTGACTAGATAGGAAGAAAAGCAGGATAAAGCAAGATCACCTTCTATAAAGCAAAAGGCTGTGGGCAAGGAAGCCCACCTAAGAGGCGTGCTGGGCTTCATGTAGCTGGGTGCCACTTACTTTATCAGGTAGACGTCGTACTTCCCAGCCGAGCGACCGGATTTTCTCTGCTTCAGCCTCCGTGTCCAGCCCAGCGGCAGCGAGGGGTCATCGTACAGCGGCCCACGGTCACGGATTATCGAACGCCGTTGCTTAGGAGAGCCTGAGGCTTCGGGGTTGGCCTCCTCGGCATGGGGAGATGCCGCCTTCCCGGACTCCGCTGCCGGCTTCTGGTCCTGTTGCTGCTCCCCTGGTGCAGGAGGCTGGCTGGACACTGTGGGCTCCTCCTGCTCTTCATCCCGCCGATCCCGCTTCACCTTCTTCAACTTGAATGTCTTGTCCTTTGAGGCCTGCTGGTCGTGCTCCTCACTCTTCTCCTCACTGCAGGGGGTAAATCAGGGATCAGTGTTACAACACGCATAAACAATAGACAGCTGAAATATTACTGACTAGCTTTCACCTAGCATGCATGCAAACACTTCCGGTGATAAATCAGATGAGGCAAAGAAACTATTGTGCAGATGCAGATTTACCTTTCCATGCACATTTTTTTAAAGCCTGTCTCCCAAATATCATTAAATTGCTACGATTTTTAATGAACACATTTGTCCTCAGTGCTGGCCAGTTCTACACAGGCACAATGAAAGGCGCATTTCGCTCATTCAACAGATGCTCATCTGACTCAGCTGAAAGAAACTCAACATCTGTCTGACTAGTAGTTCTGAAAGCACGGTTATGCTGAGAAGGGACATCTGTGGGTGACCAAAGATATTCTGTCTCAAAAATTATTGGTCCACATACACTGTGTGAGAAATATCACTCAGATCTTTCTTTAGCTGCACCATATTTGTTCCTGATCTAATCAAGCAGACACTAGCATGACTAACCTATATCTAGAAAACAAAATTCTTCAGGGGTTTGCAGGTTTGTTAGGCCTGCATAACGTGTGATGTTAATGTTATGTACATGCAACCGTCAACATTACAATAACAGTGATACTCAGCTTGGTTGAGTTCAAGTTTCACTAAATCATTTTTACTCTGTCAAACGAAATAAAACTTAGCAAGCATTGCAATTGTAATGATGTTCCTTTTCAAGACCATCTAGTGTATGTTTTCCATGAACTCTGCGTGTGCTCTCTGAGCCAATCACAATCATTCTCGTCCTTGCTGTTGAACTCACTCTTGGACAGTGTGCCGCATTTGTGAGAAATTTTACAAAAAATGAGCCAGGAGGAGAAAAGCGAACAACTGGTCACTGAAAGACATTAGTCCTCAGCTGTACAAAAATATTTTGGATTCCACAGAGATGATATTGAGCAAACTGCATTGTGTCTGTTGGCACAAGCCGCAGCACCACCAACTAATTTTCAGCATTTTTTTTTTGTTGTTTTAGAAATATGACAATATTTATTGCAAAAATTTCACATATCACAATGTGTATTCTGTCCAATATTGTGCAGCCCTAGTTTCATTTGAGGGGTAAGACAGTGAGGACACTGTCCTTCCCATCTACACCATTTCATGCCATCATTTAGGTACACCCACATAATCTAAATATGCACAAGCCATCAATCTGCAATGTAGTTTATCAGGCAGCCTTCAACAAAATACAGATTTTTTTTCCAACAAATATAAAACTGGATAATGCTTAAACGTAAAATATTACATGGAAGCACTGCAAGGTGCAAAGCGATAGCAGTGCATCCCCCCAGTGACTAATGTCCAACACGACCCTCTCTGCAGTTAAAAACTCACATTCCTTAAATAACTAATAAAATAAGGCAACTTCTGAGCAGTGTCAGCTTTCGTTTAACAAAATTTTTTTTTTTTTACAGAGAATTGTGCATTTTTCCATGTTGATGTGTCCCCAAATGAGCATAATAAATTAAGCCAATTAACAACTGAAAGCCAGCCACCGAAACAAAACTGCAAATCTGCATCATTAATGCAGGACCACAGGCTTGTTTCATCAGCAGTAATGATGTAGAACTCAAGGAAGCTTATATCAGTGTTTTAATAAAAAAAAAAAAAGTTGTTTGACCACTGAAAAGAGTAACAGTGGCCTGCAGCAGTGCTTTTGGCTTCTAAAAAAGGGTCTTAGCAAAACAACAACTTACAAATCCTGTGTAAAATTACAACTTTCCTGGCTGTTAAAATAAGTGTAGGCGCTGCCTTGGCTTTGGCTGCCCCATCAAGCACCCCATAAAAAGACCTCTTCAGCAAAAGAAAAAAAGAAGTCTGCTTTTAAAAACAAAAGCACTATGGTATGCTTCTGTGAAACACATATGATATTGTATCTGTCCTTAAAAAAGAAGGCCTCTGTTCTAATATACAGAAGGAATATAACTTAAGGAAACCAAAGCTCATTCGGCACAATGGACACCTATGTAACAGCTTTGGCTTTCAAAACTGGGCCATAAAAATCCCTTGGTACACTGTTGGATTCTTTTATAAATAACTAAATAGCAAAGGTCAAGTAAGACCGTATTTTTCCTTTTACTAGCCTACAATCTTAGGTTTTAACATCGATGATTTATTTTTAGTGATTAAATCATTCCAAGCCACCTTATCCTTTCAATCATCATGTAATATTGACTGATATAAATTATTGCAGCCCAATCAATTTAACATATTGTTAAAATTTTGTTCTTCAGGATGCATCAATGCTATTTACAATGAACTGTTAAACTGACACGCTCATAACCATGGATACTAATACTGCTTCAAATACATTACAACCTGTGAAAGTTTGGTACCAGAATGATTTACATCTCAATTTTTCCAGTAAAAATCATTCCCACAAAATTGTTTCAACTATAAACCTTGGATCACAAAAAAACATGAAATGATTCCTATTCAGATAGTCAAGAAAAGGCGATGGCGGGCTGTAATATCAATAACATTAATTTATTTTTCAGTTAGCAATACATTTACCGCGTGACCTGTCTTAGCTATTCAGCCAAGGTTTGTGCATTTATGGTGTATATTTTAGACAGTCTTGCAAGTTGGATAAAATAGACTAGCTAAGGAAGAATAACGTTTTTGTCATTTAATATGTATACGAACATAAGTTCAGGTGTCTCTAATGAACTTGTTATAATACTGTTTTCACAAAATCATTTTTGAGCCGTCTCGTGTAATACACAGAAATCTCAGGATTTGACCACAACAGCAGTTGTGCTGTTGTCGAACATGAAACGTTAAAAACACTTTCCCGAAGAGCATGAAATATATCCATCATAGAGGCTAGGCCAATTTGTCACTGCAGATTTAATAATAATAAAAAAAAAGAGAGTTGTTTTTACTCATTATCTATGTATCCACTTTCAGTAAAATGTCAAGAGTCTACCGCAGGAAGCACAGGCCACAAGCCAGCAAAAGCCCTTTCAGACATGGACTGCCACCCTAGATTATCCAGAGGGGCAGTATGTGTGAATGCAAAGGCCTGAATTAGTCGTACCGGACATTAAAAGGACTTTGCCCTGCTTGCTAGTCCAGGTAATTTCTGATTGATGTGTGAATGGCGCAGGAAAATGTCTGGAGAATTCACTTTGAGCAAGTGGCATGTTGATGATGCTTATAATATGCAACTGGTGCGAAAATGGAATACTACAAACCACAGAGAGGGGATAGTGAAGAAGGGTCATTTAGACAAACACCCCAATGGACATGGCTAACTGGAGAAATGACGAGAGTCAGGAACATCTGTCAGTAAGGGCCAAAGTGCTGTAAACAAAACACTTTGTACTTTTTATGTCTTGTCCTGCCTCCTGCATGCTCTACCGAAGCACCACACCTCATCTAAACCAACCAGAGTATCTCTAGTAGGGTGTGAACACGTCTGACATGGACAATCTCCAGTTGTGTGCTACATATGAAAGGGCAACTCCAGAAAATATTTGGACCTGATTTTTTGGATGCTCTCGACCCAAAAGACTAAACATGACCCAATCAGTACTGTAAAATAAAAACTGTACCAACTTTTAAAAATAACTGTAAAATAAAAAATATATACCTACTTTTGGCCCACCCTGTACATAAAATAATTTTAACAGCAACCCTAGGAAGTTAAGGATTTTTCCTTTTATTTTAAACTTTTTTAATGAAGTTCAATGAATGAGTACCAGCTGAGGAATTTGGTTGCCATTTTCTAGTTTGTCATTCTTAACTCATGCTGAACATTAATATACTGAAACAGTGTTGTTTTACAGATCCAAAAATCCATATGAACTTTGCATATGAATACAACATTGCCTTCTCACAGCAGTCTTGCCACTGGAGTTTCTGCTCATTGTCAGAAAGCCTAATAGTGCTGAATAGGATGACTTATACGGTGCTAATATTAGACCAGAAGTGGCTGTTAAAAAAGACAGCAACTTCCATTTTAAAAGAACTGTCAACCCCTTTATTAAAATAACTCACACAGTCATTACTACAGGTTTATTTGCACTCTGTATGTGGGTCTGCTGACTTGAAAATATTCCACGCTGTAGTGTTGTGGCATGATATAAAAAGACACCACACCTTGTTCATTCTAAGTATGCAACAGATTGTTCTGACAAATGTGTTCAATTTCATTCTATATGGATATCATTTGAAGTATATGCCACCTTTATACTATGCCACCAAAAAAGTCTGAAAGATGCCTACACCTTGACTTTTTCTCATCCCATCTCAACTATATAAACTCATCTGTCATTAATGGGGTATGGGAAGCCATCGCATAATCATGGGGGGAGGGTGAAAGCTGCATCTTTTTACGCTCAATAGCTCAAATCATGCTGTTGTCAAAAGTTACATTAGTCTCGAAAAATACAATTCACTGAAAGTAGGCCAAACTTTCAAATATGTTTCTTGGTTTGTGATTTTTTTTCTCCCATAACAACTCTTGACAAAGCCCTGACCCAGTAACCTAGAGACGTTTGGAGACCTTCTCGTGTTAGAATAATTAAACAATTTGTGTAAGCAAGTACTTTAACATCCATAAAGACAGATTCTTATCTTATTCACATCATACCTTCTCTTACTCTCGTTGTGCAAATATAGTTGCAAATTGTATGATCTGATGAATTTGTGGGAAGTTTGCAGTACAATCATAGGTGGCATTGAGATACAGTTATTACTCTGCCTTGCCTCAGTTGCCTGAACTCTCCTCTCTGCCCTGCACTCACTGATAGCTAATATGCCTGCTGTTCAGACTCCAGAAGCCAGTCTGCTCACTTTCGCGACAGCTAAACACAATACGGCACACTATAAATACCACTGATCTGCTGCTGCACAAAACAGGGTGCAGCACAGCAGTATGAAAGCAGGTGAGTCACAGCAGAGGAGCCCCATAACAGGAACCAGCTCTCGCTGTAGCCCAGCTGGTCATATGAT